AAAAAAAAAAAAAAAAAAAAAAAAAAAAAAAGGCTACCAAGTGCCTGTAAACAAACTAGAATGAAATGTCTTTAAATCAGATAACACAACATTTGGGACCAAAAAGAAGGAAATCATCAGCAACTAGAAAACGTATTTACTGTTAAAATAAGTGTTTCACCCTTACCACTGTGGAGAAATCTAGAATTTCTGCAAGTGAGGTGTACAGAGTGCCTATCTGCATGGGCATTGTTGGCAGGGATTATTAAAACAGATTCCTGAGTTGCATCGCTCACATTCTAAGTCAAAAACCAAGAAGGCCAAGGAATTCAGCATTTTAGCAAGTTCCATTTGTGCTTCTTCTGCACTCAGTTTTGAGGATCACTGGGGAAACAGTATAGTTTGCAAGAAGAATGGAGAAAATCTGAGCTCTGCGGAACACCTACTACATGCCAGGCAATGGATCAGTCACTGCTACCTACTTAATCTTATTGGATCTTCATAGAAACTCTGTAAACTAAATGTTATTGTGACTATTTTGCAGGCATGGAAATTAAATGAACTGTAAGGTTCAATAACATTCCTGAAGTCACAAGGCTGCTGAGTCAGGTGACCTAGGTTCAGATCCAGATCTTCAGGATGGCATAGACTTTCCTCTCTATTCACAAGGACATGGGCATCCTTGCCGTGGAATCCGGAGAACTGAGCCTGTAAAGGATCCGGAGAGAGACCACCTCCTCAAGCTCTGTTCCTTCCTTTCCTTTTTCATTGCTCTAAGACTAGACTATGAAACTCCAGCAAATCTTGCTCTCTGTCACAAGAATTTTGTGAAGAAAGTCACTAAAGAATCTGAGACAACTGCTCAGAGGACAGAGACTAATTTTAAAATGTTCCCCACTCAGAGTGATTAACTCCTGGGTGAGCTAGGGATCTGGGTGCACCACAGCCAACATCACAAACAAATCATTCGCTGCCATGCAGTTGAGAACAGGTAACTATCAACTCATGCTCTTCATTATTTCCTTACATAAAGTCAGTGGCTGTCGTGGGTTTTTTTCCCCCTCATAGCAGTTCTGGGAATAATAAAAAGACACACAAAAGCTCTCCTAAACCTTTAAGATAGAGGAAATGGAGAATGTGGAGTGAAATTAGGCCCCTTTTGGAGGGTGTGTCAGACTCATGGGCCTCAGACTCCTGGGCACCACGGGCTTCACCTCCCAAGGTTCTCGGCGTCCTTCATGGTCTCTGGCAAAGCGACCCCCTTGGTCTCCGGAAGAAGCAGCGTCATTCCTGCAGCAAGCAGGCCCAGCACCGCTTCAAAGGAAACAGATTGCAAACAGAGCCATTAGAGCACAGCCAATGCCATTTACAGAAATCGTCACAGCTAGCCAGAGAGAGGAAGAGACAACACAGACGGGAGAGATACTATTTTTTTTTTTAAAGTGAGGAACATTATAAAAGAAAATCAAAACAATAGGATAGCCGGCGAAATGTCAAAGTAAAGGAAACACCGCCTTCATTTTACTCCTATAGAAGTATAAAGTTCCATAGTAACTGATGTTTAAGTATTAGGGGATTTGTTGACTGGGGTACATATACACATATAATTAGCTGCGGAGCACAGTCTATATTCTATACGTGGGCAGAGTGGACCCCTCCCATCACTCTCTCCCTCCTTTTTTCCCTCACCTTCTACCTCCCTTTCTCCCAGCTTCTTCCTGTCTCCCTTTCCCTATCTCTTCCTCCACCCCTCTTTTTGTATTCACCTGTGCCCAGGCATGGCAAGTTTCTGCAACCAACCAACCATTTTTGCCTTCTATGAAGTGGGTACGCAGGGTCTTGGAAGTTTCCTGGCCTAGGTTTGGAGAGAGAAGTAGGAGTCCCCTCTCCCTTCTAACATCCAACTGTATCAGGAAGAAAGCGGATACAGAACTTTGATTCCCACTCAACTCCTTGTGAGTGTTCTCAGTTGTTAAGCGCTAGATATAGGAGAGAGGTGACAATTCAGCACCTTCAAGACTCTAGCAATTATAAGTTAAATGTGTAAGAATTGGTGATCAGATTTATCAGGAGACTATGTCAAAAGGTCTCTCAGATTTTGTCCTATAGTATGAATGACTGGGGTCCAGAGCCAGAGGATAGAAATCTCTGACCCACCTTCTAGGAATGGCTTCTTATCTTTCCCATGAAGCAAGACAGAATAAGCCAGGAGACACCCCCAGAGCATGCACCATCCTAGCCGTCAGTAAACTCATTGAGAGCTAGCATTCCCTTTACTCAACAGATATGACCAAGCACTCACACTCAGTCACACCCACGCTGAGCCGACTGCCAAGCTGGAAAACAAGGAATAATATATGCTTCACAAAGTCTTACCAAAAAAAATGAGAGGCAAGGCTTGCCAAACTGCCGTCAGTCTGAAGACTATGAAGGGGACGAGTATCCCACCTATGTCACACACAGAGGAACACACCATCACTGCAAGGTTCCTGATAAAATACAGAGGACAAAAAGTAGGATAATTCTGTGATTCACTTTTCCAAATGTTAACTGATGCTAAAACAAACACAATACCAGTACCTGCAGCTTGCTGTGGGTGTCCAGTGCTTAACACCTCAGAAGCAAACTGCAGGGGTCAGGAGGAGCCATAAGGACCAGCCCAGAGGGTATTGAAAGGAGGTAACAGGCTAAAGGGAAAGTGGGTATGAGCCATCCGTTGCCCATGCAATGGAAGAGAGCCTACCTCTTTTTAACTATCCATTCAAATATTTAGCACTTAGGTGTGTAATTCCTGAAGATTTGCTACAAGCCTTACAAAGATAAAAAGAACACATGCTCCCTGCTCTAAATTTCAATTTCACCTCACTCCTCTCCCAGCTCCATGACCTGTGATCACCTGTGAGGAAAGCACAGTGTCTGGGAGTGACTGAATCTAGTAGGATTTGGGCCCATCCAAGCCCTAAGACCCTGGGAGTAGGGGTTGAGCAAGGAGGGAAATCCTGGCTGATCTACACCAGGGACTAACTAACCAAGCCATCTCCTCAATAACCAGCAAGTGACCCTTAGAGGAGACACATGGGGAAGAAAGGAGACCTAATCAGAATGAGGGATCCACCACTGGCATTCGCTGGTGAAGGGTCAATGAATGTGGTTCCTTATGCATGTGACCCAGAGATTTGTTGCACGGGGTAACAGGCCTTAAATAGACCTTCCCAAGAAAAACATGGATTCTAGCTTCTAGCACTAGCACCACGGGGGATCTGCAGTTTTGACGAGGATACTCTGGTGCTGAATGTATAGTTGTTGAGAAGGATAAGACTAATCACTGAAATTCTTAGAGCTCCTTTCCTGTGGCTGCAAGCCTTGGTCTTTGCTAAGACAAGCATTTTCTTGGGAAATGAGATTTAAACTGTGACTAGTTGCTTTTTCCACCCGATGAGTTGCTGGGGATGCTCAGAGCAGGTGTTAAGATATGGGAGGAAAAGAGTCTACACTAGGGACCCCCCACCCCCATGCATGGAAAGATAGGGAAGGGTGGACAGAAGGCATTGAGGAATCAAGGACAAAGAAAGCTAGTGGGGAAACATGTAGAGAAACTGTCTATTTGAAATGACCCTCTTCATCTCTGGTAGTGTTCTTTGCTCTGAAATCTATACTATCTGATATTACTATAGCCTCTCCAGCTTTCTTTTGATTAGTATTAGCATAAAGTATTCTTCTCCATCTTTTCACTTTTAAACTATCTTTCTCCCTTAGTTATTTAAAGTGAGTTTCTTATAGGCAGCATGTTGTTGTTGGGTTTCACTTTTTGTCCAATCTGACAATCTCTGCCTTTTAACTGGAGTCTCTAGATCATTTATATTTCTTGTGATTACTGATACGATTGAGTTTAAATCTATCATCCTGCTATTTGTTTTCTTTTTGTTCTGTTTGTCCTTTGTAACCCTTACTTTCTTTTTCTGCCTTCTCATAAACTATTTTAAATGATTTCACTTTATCTTCTGTGTTGGCTTAATAGCTATAATTATTTTGTTTTTTAATTTTTGATTTAGGTTTACAGTAAACCTAACTCTTTGATCACTGTAACTTCAAGTAATACTGTAACATTCATAGATTATATGTGAACCTTATAAGAGTACACTTGTATATCTTCCCTCCAGCCTTTGCACAACACATTGTGATTATTGCTTTCATTGGAAAACTATAGCCCACAGGCCTATAAAGACAGCATTTTTAGCTTTGGAGTAAAAAATTATTTTTGCATGATTAAAAGGTTTCTTTTTAAAGAAAGAATAATATGGAACAGAGACCACATGTGATCCACAACGCCTAAAACATTGGCTATCCAGCTCTGTACAGGAAAAGTTTGCCAATCCCTGCTTTAAACAGTCCATTGTCTTTTCAAGTAAATAACCAGAAAAAATAAATATTTCCATTTACCTCTGTAGTTATCATTTTCAGTGCTCTTCATTTTTTTGTGTAGATGTAGTTCCCATCTGATACTGTTTTCCTTTTTTCTGAAAGACTTTCAAGGCTAATATTTCCTGTAGTGTAGGTCTGCTGGTGATTAATTCTTTCAGACTTTGTATGTTTGAAAAAGTCTTTATTTTCCATTCTTTTTTGGAATTATTTTTGCTGGGTCAAGAATTTTGGATTGGCAATTTCTTTTTCTTTCTTTCGGCACTTTAAAAATGTTACTCAGCCATCTTCTTGTTTGTATCATTTCCAATTAGAAATTTGCTGTCATTCTTATCTTTGTTCTTGTTTGTGATATCTTTTTTCTCTGATTTCTTTTTAAGATTTTTTTTTTTTTAGACAGGGTCTTGTTCTGTTACCCAGGCTGGAGTGCAGTGGCGTGATCTCGGCTCATCCGCCTCCCCAGCTGAAGCAAACCTCCTACCTCAGCCTCCAGAGTAACTGAGACTACATACACACACCACCATACCCAGCAAATTTTTGTATACTTTGTAGAAACAAGGTTTCACCATATTGCCCAGGCTGGCCTTTTTAAGATTTTTATAATGTGCCTTTCTTGATGTTTTTTGTGGTTAAGATTTATTGAAATTCTTATATCTATGTATTTGAAGCTTTTATCAAATTTGAAGAAGTTTTAAACATTATTTCTCTCTATTAACCCCTTCTACTCACTTCTACAGATTCCAATTACATGCATTGAATTGTCTCACAGCTCACTGATTCTGTCTTTCCTTTTTGGTAATTTCTATTGCTATCTTCAAGTTCACTAATCCTTTCTTCCATAATGTTTAATCTGCTGTTAACTCATGTGGTGTATTTTTCATCTCAGACATTGTATTTTTATCTCTAGAAGTTTAATTTGAGACTTAAGATTTTTTTTCTTATCTCTACTTAACATGCTCAATCTTTTCTCTAGGTGTTAAACACACAGAATATAGGTATCACAACTGTTCTAATGTTCTTGTCTACTAATTCTATCATCTACCCCATTTCTAGGTCAGTTTGAATTTATTTATTTTTCTCCTCAAAATTGGTTCTCTTTTCCTACTTCTTTGTATGTCTGGTAACTTTTGATTGGATGTTAAAAATTGTAAATTTCACTTTGTTCCGTGCTCAATTTTGTATTCCTATAAACAATATCGAGCTTTGTTTTGAAAATATGATTAAATTAGGAATAATAAATCAGGAAACATTCTATCCTTTAGGGTATTATTTTTAAGCTTCTTCAATTGAAATTATTTGCATAATTTCTTACTCTCTACAATGACTAATTACAAAATTCATATATTTATATTTCCTTCCCAATCCCTCCCACCATGACCTATATCCTGATAATGTATTTGGTTATATCATCTCTTAGAAAATTTTAAAACAAATGTAGAGGTGGAAATTTTATTGAATGCCTTTCAGTATCTATGGAGATAATAATATAACTTTTCTTTTTTTACTTATAAACATGATTTATACTGTGAGATTTTCTAATACTGAGCCATCTTTGCACTCCTGGAGTAACTCATCTTTGACATAGCATAGTAATTATTTTAATGTTCTCCACCATTTGATAATATATTGTTTAGAATTTCTAAAACAACATTCATAAATATTTGTCTGTACTGTAGTTTCCTTTTTCTTTGTTGTTCTTTGATACCAACATTATGCTAATTTTATTTTTTTTAACTTCGAAAATGTCCTCCTTTTTCTATGGTTTAGAGCAATTTAAATGTTACTGGAATTTTCTAAATTTTATTAAATGTTTTATAAAATCCCCTTTCAAAATCATTGTGGATTCCTTCTTTATCATTATTTAGGGCCCTCCTTATCTTATTTAGTACCTTTTCCCATAAATTCAACTTTGATTAGATTATGGTTCTTGCTATATATTTCCCTAGTATGCTTTTGTGCATTCTTTCCTTCTTAGCTTTTCTGAGGAACAGTTATGCTTCATACATGTAGCATATTGTTGGATTTTGCTTTGTAATCAAGTAAGGTAGTCATCTTTTTTTTTTTCCAATAAAGGATTTAAGCCTCTTTTCATTTATTTAAATGTCAGAATGTTTGGTCTTAATTCTATCATGTCAATTCTATCATGTCAATGCTATCATCTATTCATATTCTACCTTCTGTTCACACCACAGCTTTTTATTGCTTCTGGTGTCTTTCATTTTCAGTATACGTTGGTTATGTGTATTTTTTCCTGATAATTTGGAAGGGCTGTAATTTATTCAAATGATTACCTGTATAACCTTATATAATATAATTAATACCATTCCTTTAGACCGTATTGATTAACTTTCCATTATGAACAATCACAAAATTAGTATAGTTCTACTTCCTCCTCAAACCATCCCTCCATGACCTGATTTCATTGATTATATCATTACTTCTAGTGTTTTCCTTTATATCTTAAAATATACCTAAGATATTACTTATCAGTTTTTAAAAATATATTGCTGCTGAACAAATTAAACTTGTCAGTTTTTAACAATACGCTTCCCCCCCAAAAAAAAGTGTATTGAAGAAATCAGTGCATTACACCATCTCCAACATTCTCTTTCCTTTTCCTTTTCAATCTTTGTTAGTTATAACATTTCTTTATTGTCATATTTGTGATATTATATTCTGTTTTGTAGCCAAAAATACACTCATTTTAATATCAAATTCAATGATCACTACCAATCATTCTGACACATTACTCCATTTGTCACTATATTTACTGAATTTTTTTTCTAACAGCTTTTTTTGGGAAAGGATCATAGGAACCATATTCTTTGAGGTAATTTTAAATGATTGGCTATTGCTGTTATATAGAAATGAGAGCTTGGTCAAATAAAGTTCATTGGATTCAGGCATGGTAGCTCACACCTGTAATCCCACCACTTTGGGAAGCAGAGGCAGGCTGATCATTTAAGGTCAGAAGTTCAAGACCAGCTTGACCAACACCGTCTCTCCTAAAAATACAAAAATTAGCCAGGTGTAGTGGTGGGCACCTGTAATCCCAGCTACTGGGGAGGCT